TTCATTTAGATCAGGGGTGCCCAAACGTTTTCCTATGAAGGGCCATGAACAAAACTTGATTGAGGGTGGAAGGCCGAAGGTAAATATATTAAACTATATAACATTAATGTTTCCACGCCGACTCCCTAATTTATTAATATTTAAAAATAAATAGTAAAAATAATTTAACATAATAATAATTATATATTTTTTACATTTAATACAGAACTTCTTACAATAAAGACAAAAAATCTCATTTATAACACAATGGTGTTCAATGCTGAATGCACAAGTCAAGATTCACCTGCCTTTGCCTTGAGTTGCTCATTGATAATTCTTTGAATGACAGTATTTACATTTTTATCAATCTGATTCATGCACAACATTTAGCTGACAGACTTCATTTCAGTTAGATTTTTTGTAGCCTAACGATTAAACAAAAAAACAAATAAACAAACAAAAAAGGTTATATTAAGATTAGAAATGAAAATCTCTGTTGGAGGCATTCGCCGCAACCTCCCCATCATTCTCCATCTCTTCTCTGCACTCTCAGAAATAAAGGTACGAGAGCTGTCACTTGAGGGGTACTTGAGGGGTTTATATTGGTACCTCAGAAGTATATATTAGTACCTACAAATTTTAAGAGGAACACTTTTGTACTTTTAGGTACCAATATGTACCCTTGAGGTATTAATATTGACCTTTTAGGTGCAAATTTGTAGCTTTTGAAAAGGTACCACTCCAGTGACAGATTGTGTATCTTTATTTCTGAGATTGTGATGGGATGGTGAGCGAAATCAAAGGTTAACATGGGCCAACTTTGTCCTGCTGGCCCTAGTTTGGGCATCTCTGATTTAGACGTTCAAGTGAAAAACAAGATTGAAACACAGTTATTAGCAGTAGGCTAGCGCAGAAACACCATTGAAAATTAATTGAAATAATATTTTAAAAACATGGCGCGGAAAATAAATATTTTATGAAGTGCGTCTTGTCCGGTCTGAGACCCACTTTATATTGTATATCAAGCAGGCAGTGAAGATCACTGATTATTAAAGAAATCAGATCTTAAATGTGCCGAGCGACAGTTCACCGGAAGCTCTGGGATGGCTGACTGAAAATTATAAGCCTGTTTGCGTATTCCCCATTGAATCAAATAAAATTATATACTAAAGAGCTACAGTTCATGGATCTATATTTCAGTCTTTCAAGCAGGAAAGCGTGACTTAAAATATGACTCATAAACACTAAAACTATGTTGTCAGGGCAAGATCAAGTTCATAAAACAAATACTTTACATACTTTGCTCCCTTAATAAAACTTTAACAATATATATATATATATATATATATATATATATATATATATATATATATATATATATATATATATATA